CGAAGGTATAACTCATGTTCTTCCTCAGAAGGCAAATATATAAGAATATCATCCACAAAAACTACCACAATCTTATCAACATATTCAAGGAAAACCGGATTCATCAAGTCCATAAAGGTGGAAGGGGCGTTGGTTAACCCAAACGGCATCACAAGAAATTCATAATGGCCATAACGTGTATGAAAAATCATTTTTGGAATGTCCTCTTCTTTCACACGTAACTGATAGTAGCCTGACCTTAGATCTATCTTTGAGAAACACTGAGAGCCCTTGAGTTGGTCAAAAAGATCATCTACTCTTGGTAACGGGTATTTATTCTTAACCATGACTGTCATGACCCGAACCCGCCCCCATGGATTAAGGTCATAACCGGCCAGTAATCAAGAGATTACTTATGGCCTCAAACCAGATTAGATATATTTTAACAGAGTCAAGGGGGCCAAAACGGAAGCAAACTTAAAACTTTTGTCCATAGAGCCGTGCTTACATGGCACATTATAACATTTCACATATATTCATTAAAAACTCACGTCAAAGGAAGTTAACATATAGCTTTACACAACAGGATCATTCGAGTCATAGTCAACCAACCCAAAAGTTTATAAACAAAAGTGTTCTAAAGTTTTCGCCAACATAGCAAAAATATAGCAAAAGAACAAAAGGGCGAAAACAAGTCTCGCGCGTGAGACTAGGGGTGTGCACGGTGCGGGTCGGTGCGGTTTGAGAGAAAAATAGAAACCGTATGGCGGGTGGCGGATTGATAAAAGTGTCACTAGAATTTGCTATTTTTCTTATCAAAAACCGGCAGTTCGGTTGGTAAATAATGGCGGATTTGCCTTGGCGGTTCGGGCGGATTGGCGGTTTATAAAAAATATAATTCAAATTACAAAACTTAAATCAAAGAGTAAAAAAAAGACGAGAGATACCGTGATGTTAAGCATCTTGCGAAGCTTTCTTCTGATGCAGCAAGTGTAACAATAACATGATTATATCAACGACTATGCCATCAGTTCATTACAAGCATCTGTGGAAGCTACAATGATCAAATGCAATACATAAAATTAATATCATTCAAGATTTACAATATATTGAAAATGTTTACTGTTGAAAAGTATTTAGATTCAAAAGTGAGCTGATGCAAGTTTGCAACATGGCCAGAAAAAAAAAAAAAAAAAAAGGCTAGAAAAAAAAAAAGATTGAAAAGTGAATTGGAAGCCAACTTTATTTTGGATTACTGACATCTTGAATTCCCCTCGAGCAGTAATGTAATACTATATTCTAAGGTATAGAACAACAAGCAAACATAAGTAAAAAAGAATTTTTAAAATCATATAAAACATGATTTAATAGCGGTGCGGGTCGGTGCAGTTTGGAAGAAAAATAGAAACCGGCGGATTGATAAAAGTGTCACTAGAATTTGCCATTTTTCTTACCAAAAACCAATTCGATTGGCAAATAATAACGAATTTGCCTTGGCGGTGCGATTATGGCGGTTTCGGCGGTATTATGCACACCCCTACGTGAGACGTATGGGCTGACTCTTCAAAGCTTCGACTGTTTCACACATACTTCACCAAGGCTGGGCTTGTACATCTCTTGGCTCACCTACAGACACATGAATGAGAGTGAGCGAAAGCCCAGTGAATAATATCAAATAGAGAAGATACATGAACGAACTTTGAAATAGTTACATCAGACGGCCTTGGGCCCAATTCATGTTTCTATCTAATGTATCAAACGAAAAAATTTCTAGATGCATCAAACGGCCTCGGGCCCAACTCACTCATATCCGACGGCCTTTGGCCCATTCATTCATGTCCAACGGCCTTTGGCCCCATCGTTTATATCCAACGGCCTTTGGCCCAATCATTCATGTCCAATGGCCTTTAGTCCAATCGTTTGTATTCGACGGCCTTTGGCCCAATCATTCATGTCAAACGGCCTTTGGCCCAATCATTCATGTCCAACAGCCTTTGGTCTAATCATTCATGCCAAACGGGCTTTGGCCCATTTCATTCATATCCAACGGGCTTTGGCCCAATCATTCGTATCCAACGGCCTTTGGCCCAATCATTCGTATCCAACGGCCTTTGGCCCAATCATATAGCAAAACAAATATTTTCCCACAATTCAAATTAACAAGCTTATAAGACTTACAAAGGAATAAGCAATAGGACAAATAACATACTTCAAAATATCTTTACTAAGATATTACTCACAGTGTTCTGCTAGTGGATTCGTCCTTGTGTTCGACCCTACATAATACATAACACATATGTATGGGTCACAAATGATTCAATCCGTTCTTAATTCATACATCCCTCTTAGGCTTCTTTCTTATTCTTTTAACTCATTTACAATTCTCAATGCATGCCTAGAAGTGCTTAGAAATGAAAGAGAACAGAAAGTGAAACACAAGACATTTTTACAAAATTTTTGAAACAAGGCTCCCCGCTCAAGCGTGGCTTATATAGCTTGAGCAGACCCTTTAGGTCTGCAAAAGTACTGGTTGCCTCATTTTTACACTTGAGTGTGACTTCGGACGCTCGAGCTGAAAGTTAAACTACATGGCTTGGCGCTCGAGCGTGAATCTCCCCGCTCGAGCGGACATCAAAGCCTGCAAAAGTTATGGGAACTAACAATTCACGCTCGAGCGGCGCCCTCCCCACTCGAGCAGACATGCCAAATTCTGGAATTTCTAGAATTGTTCTTGATGTTCAAACTCAACATTCAAAGGCTCAAAACTCTTGTTTTGGGGAAACACATCATATAACATGAGAACATAGTCAATATGAGGCCAATTGTTCAAAATTATGGTTAGATTCTCAAATTAACCAACATCTCTCTTGTATGATCAAAACCCATGCATTCAAACTTCATACAAACCCCATATATACATTAATCATGCATGCATGGAAACTCTAGACTCTAATTCTATTCCAAATGGTGCAAATGGTGTTTATTCTCATGAAACTCAACAAAACCATGCTTGCATGTATGATCCAACTCTCAATCTTTTATATTTGACATGCTACATGTTAGATTATGCAAATTCATGGCAATTCATAGCAATTATATGCATGCATGTGCATATAGACTTCAATCTCATCATAATCAACACAACTCATGTTCTTGGTTACCATTTAATCTTGAATTCACAAAATCACAAGCTCAAACTCATGAATTTACTCACTCAGGAGCTCAAATCTTTAAATTATAGCTAGTTCTTGAGCCTAGCCTTCCAAATCTTGAGTTCCCTTGCAAAAATCTTCAAAAATGGCTCCTTTCTCTCTCTAAATTTTGTTCACCCTCTCTCTCTAGGGTGTAGAATCTAATTTGGGCTAAAAAATGTGAGCTTAAGCACACTTAGCCCATATATATATGATTTCCCTAATCACACTTAATTAGAACTAATCAATGGTGCTTAATTCAATCAGTTTAAACTAATTAAATTGTTCCAAATCAGTTTTCAATTAAATTTCACCATATGCTCTAAAAATTATGACAATCACAATGGCATAGTCAATTTTGGTTTCTATAGCCGATAAGGCCTTCAATTTTCAGTTCATAACAGCAAGTTGAGCAGATTTTCCTATGGTGAACAGATAGAAATTCAAAACCACATATAATCATATAAATGGCACCCAAAATCATATCAAACACATAATCACAATCATAATTAAGATTAATTAACATAATACAGAATAGGGTTATCACAGTGACCCCATCTAGCTTACGATAATCAATGCATAACCGTAAGGAACTATCTTTCTTCTTCGCAAAGAGAGTCGGGGCTCCCCAGGGCATATAAAGCCCTTATCTAATAACTCTTGTAATTGTTCCTTCAAAACAAGCAACTCTGCTAGGGCGAATTGATAGGGTGACATGGAAATGGGTGCAATACCTGGCACTAGATCTATGGAAAACTTGACCTCCCGATGTGGTGCTAGTTCGGTAAGGTCCTCCGAAAAAATATCTAAATACTCACAAACCACCCTAGGAAATACCCCTCGCATTTCACCATTCCCATCAGTCATCAAGGTTGCAAAAAGAGAAATGAATTTAGCTCGACTATGTAAGTCATATAACGGAGGGTAAAAGTCTATCAGACTCATCCCCTAGAAAAAAGAAACAGTCACTGCCATCCGTACATACAATAACTTTCCCACGATAACAATCTATTACTACACGAAAAGAGGACAACCAGTCCATACCGAGAATGGCATCAAAACTAGTCATCTCTAACTACACCAAACTAAAAGGTAGTTGGCAGCCAATGACTTCGATCACACACCCGCGGCACCCGTGGGTCAAAACCAATTTACCCTAATTGGTGATTCTACAACAAGAGAAGATTCTAATGGTTCAGCCTCTAACCCCAACATGGATGCGAATGAGGATGCTATGAATGAATGAGATGCCCCTGTATCTATCAACACATTTGCCCAAGTATTATATATGAGATATGTACCTCGCATCACCATAGGTCCGGTCGATTGTTCAGATACGGTGACAGCATAAACTCTTCCTTGAGGCCTCTGTTCACTTTGCTCACCCCTTTGTTGATAGGCATATGGTACAGATTGTGCGGAGGTAGCTCCATGTACAGTTCGAGATGCTTGTCCAGATTGAACTGGCTGGTGAGTCTGTCTCTGGCTCTGTCCGGCCTGAAACCCTAAAGCACTAGCCGTCCTGGTAAATTGGGGACAAAACTTCTTCATATGACCTGACTGGCCATATTGATAACAAACAGGCGATTGACCTCCACCTAAAGCCAAATTTTGAGAATGTGTAGAAGACTGCTGCTGTTGATTACCCTTCTGTGGGCACGTAGTGGACTTTTGGCCCTTTTCACCACACCTATAACAAGTGATCTCACTTTGTCTCGTACCATCCACACTCTTTCCTCGATTAAAATTTGATGGTGCAACCAGTGGCGATGGTACATGAGAAGATGTAGAACTCCTCAACTTCTTTGATGCCATAGAACCCCCTCAAGATTATGTAAACCCTTGTCTCTTGAGTCGTCGCTTCGTTTCCTCTCCTTCAAGCATAATCTCTACATGTGCCACAGACTCTACCAACCTATCGTAATCCTGGATCATGTTTCCCATCACTTTTATCAAAATTCCCAGCCTCAGTCTCTTCTCAAATTCTAGACACCTACGCTCCTCAGTAGCTACCAGGTCGGGTGCGAAACGAGATAGGCTTGTAAAAGTAGCCTCAAACTCCACCACTGTGGAATCGGATTGTTCAAGTTCTTCAAACTCTCTCCGCAAACATTCCCTTACAGTGGGAGGGAGGTACTTCTTTTGAAAGGCATAAGTAAACACCTCCCAAGTATGCTCAATTTGACCCTTGCCATATTTCCACCATTGGCTGATATCCCCCTTTAATTGATAACTGGCAAGCGCCACCCGAAGTTCACCGTCTCGAATATCTAAAATCTCAAAAGATTTAGTAATTTGCTTAAGCCGTTCGTCCGCCTTTAACGGTTTAGCACCCCCAAGAAACTCGACAGGATTCGAGTGGAAAAATTCCTTTTTCAGGAATAAAACTCTAGGCTCCCCTTCAATTGTTCTAGCGGCTTTTTTTTCTCTAAGAATATCCATTGATTCCCTAAGGGCCTCAGCCATTTCTCGAGCCAACACTCCCATAGCGTGTTGGGCCGGTGGAGCGGCCACATTATTCTGACCCACTCCTTTTTCTTGAGGTGGGATCTTTGGTTAAGTTGGAATATTCCTACCGCCTCGACGAGGCCTACCACGACCCCTAACGCGTCCAAACATCCTATAGATAAGAGTAGACGTGGACAGGATTAGCTCACAATTCATATACTAGTTCATTACTTTCTCCTCAAGTCTTAATATCATTCTCAATAATTAAACATGTAAACAAATAGAACACATGTAGATCCTTCTCCTAGGATATTAACTCATTTCACGACATTCAAGGATTTCCTAGTGGAAAAAGCATTGATTAGATGCCTTTCCAATGGGACTTCGATGAACATAATGAACACAAGTCATACCTTAGAGGATAGACCCCACACGCACCTATTCATATAAACACATAACCAAACAAAACCATCTACTCCTCATACTAACATGACAACCAAATGTGACAAAGTCACATCCCATGAGCTCTAGGTATTCGACCTGGTTAGCTCTGATACCAATTTGTAACACCCCGCCAAAACCATTTACACGAGACCATTAACATGCAATTTTCACATAAGCACAACATAATTCCACCCAATTAGTTCTCTTTCTCATTGAACGGTTGATTTGATTTGCAGAACAATTACATAATAATTATCTTGTTTAATGGGCTAGAAAAAATTTACAAAACAATTACATTGATCCCCTATTAGTATTAATTGCATTGGAACCTATACAAAATAAACTTTACAAGTCTCAAGCCAAAATAAACAAAAGGGTTCCATAATTTCACTATAGTTCTCAATTCACAAAAGATAATTAAATAAAAGGTCTTTTTCTTCTCCTTCTTCATATTGGCGATTTTGGATTTCTTCGTTTCCTGAAAAGTTAGTAAATAGGGATGAGCACTTTTGCCCAGTAGAGAATAACTTTAACCAAGTATATAAACATTTGATGTATATGTGCATAAATCAATTCTAAAAGCCAAGGATTTATTTGTATTCCCAACTTTGTTTTACAAATATTGATCATTATCAACTTCCATACTTTCTCCGTCCTCACATGGATGGCATGTGGATGTGTCACACTTTCCCACTTTCATCGTCCTCACACGAACCGGCGAATGGATGCCTCACACATCCCCACATTTGCAGCCCTCACACGGACCGGGTAGCCGACACCTGAAAGATGACCCCACATTCATTGTCCTCACATAACCGGGCAAGTGGGCACCTCAAACACATTCTATAACATTTATATTTCTCATCCAATGTCAACAATTTCAAGGATTTTCCAAGTTTTTACTTATTAACATCCACTTTATCATAATCACGAACAAACTCCTAGGGTTCACATAAGGATTTGGGGCTTTTCCGTCCAATTGTTCCTTTCCCTTAGTTCAAGTATATTCACACAATATAATTTAATTATTATGATATTTGAAGAAAAAAATTATCCTAATATACAAATAAATAAATAAGATAGAATGTGCTTAATTATGTGCATTGCATGGATCAAATTAATTTTTTTATATTTTATATTTTTTTGTCTATCTTATTGATGTATTAATATTAATTTATATTTAATTTTTTATTTAACAAGAAATTATTTATTTCAAAATATTTAAATTATATATACCTATATAAAATATGTATGAATAATTCAAAGAGAATATTAAAGAAAAAATCAATACTCTACATAATTAATTTATATATTTTCTTCTTAATCTAATCATAACATATTTATTAGGGCGCTTGGGAAAAAAGTCCATTTTTAGATTTTCTTTGGCCAAAAGTCCAGGTGGTAGAATACTTTGTCTAAATGGACAAATTTAGACAAAAAGACCAAAATACCCTCTATATATATGACATACACAGTGCAAAAAAAAAAATCAAAATCCCTCTCTCTCTAATCTGAGATCCAAACCCTAACTGCCGCCATTGGTTTCTTCTTCCTCTTCTCTCTCTCTCTCTCTCTCTCTCTCTCTCTCTCTCTTGTATCTCTCCCTCACTTGAGCTATGGTTTGTCAATTGGTGGTTGTTCTCTCTCACCGACCTCGCTGCCATCGCCTCTCTTATCTCTCCTCTCCGATAGTACCACCACGATAGTTGTTCGCCCACCACCATCTCCGCCTCTCACCGACATCACCGCCGACTGACCACCACTCCTCCTCCGCCGCCTCTCTCTCTCTCTCTCTCTCTCTCTCTCTCTTCTAAACACCCACCAAAATATCTATTGCCATCACCTTCGTCAACATCCATTTGCTCGCTCTTTGTGACATTTTTCAGTGGAATCGTCGTCAGTAGTGGGGAGAATAACAATCACCGTTGACTCTACGTCATCGTAGCCTCCATGATATCCACAAAATCTATATTGTTTCGATTTGAGAAATGATTCGATTTCAACGAAGTAGACATTCAAATCTACGACCACCTCTACCACATCGCCTTCAGAAAGTTTAGATTTACAACAGCCGTAGTTCTAGTGTTTCTTGCGACTTTTCAAGGGATCACGATCTTAGCTTAATCGTTCACAACACCATAGACAGGTACGTTGCATTGAATCGATCTTGATTTTTTCAATTTCTTTAAGTTTGGCTTTGATCTTATTATTGTAATGCCTCAACCCTTCACATGTCATCGATATTGTCCACTTTGGGCCATGCCCGCACAGATATGTTCTTCCCAGTGGGTCACCCATCCCAGAATTACTCCAGCCTAAGCACGCTTAACTGGGGAGTTCTGCTAGGGATTTCACCACTCGGGAAAAGGCCTCAATGCTATGTAAGGGTCCAGGTTTTTACTTTTATAGTCTAGGAACTCTCCATCCATTTCTGATGTGGGACACCGGGACCTTACAATCCACTCCCCTTAGGGCTACACATCCCCGTACAGTAGTCTGCCAGCTCGTAAGCCTACCCACATGCACTGAGAGACGCCAGGGGCCCACACTCAATACTTCAGAGAGTCGGCTCTAATACCATTTGTAATGCCCCAACCCTTTACATGTCATCGATATTATCCGCTTTGGGCCATGCCCACACGGATTTGTTCTTCCCAGTGGGTCACTCATTCCAGAACTACTCCAGCCTAAGCATTAATGACAGTCTAAAAGTAAACAAAAACAATAAATACAAATCTGAAAAGTGTGTCTCTTTAATCATTCACAGCTGAGATAAATCCAAAATGAAAGGCTAAAATATATCTAGAAAAGATAAACAGACAAACAGAGAGAGAGAGAGAGAGATAGACTTACTTGACATTGTGGGCTTTCCAGCTCGTAAGCCTGCCCACATGCACTGAGAGACGCCAGGGGCCCACACTCAATACTTCAGAGAGTCGGCTCTAATACCATTTGTAATGCCCCAACCCTTTACATGTCATCGATATTATCCGCTTTGGGCCATGCCCACACGGATTTGTTCTTCCCAGTGGGTCACTCATTCCAGAACTACTCCAGCCTAAGCATTAATGATAGTCTAAAAGTAAACAAAAACAATAAATACAAATTTGAAAAGTGTGTCTCTTTAATCATTCGCAGCTGAGATAAATCCAAAATGAAAGGCTAAACTATATCTAGAAAAGATAAGCAGACAAACAGAGAGAGAGAGAGAGAGAGAGAGAGAGAGAGAGAGAGAGAGACTTACTTGACATTGTGGGCTTTGTTTTCGCCGGAGATGTAGCACTAAACCCTTAAAACCCTTTTTTATTGGTGAATGTAGAACGAAATTGGTTTTGAAAATAGCTTAAAAGGACGTCGTTTTGTTTGTTAAAAATGACATCATTGTTTTTGGCAAAGACATGTACTCCCTCATGTTTGGAGATTCAAACTCGGTTTTGATTTTTTTGTTTTTTTTAAGAGTGTTTTGATTTGGGAATTTCAATTGAAACATTAGGGCTCCGTTTGGTTTAGTTTTGGAATTATAATTTAAGTGTGAAATTGTGATTTAAGTGTGAAATTATAAGTTAAGTTTTGAAAAGAGAAAATTTGTTTGGTTATGAGTTTTGAAAAGAGTTTTAGAATTTTGAAAAAAGTTTTGAGTCTGTATTGAGTTTTTGAATTTTGAGTTGTACTTTGAAATTTTTTAGATTATTTTTTAAAATATTAAAAAAAATTTAAGAAAATTTTATTTTTTATTTTAAATATATAATTTTTATTTAAATATTTTTTATTGTAAATATTTTAATATTTTAAATTTTAATATTTTAAATTCAAAACACAACTTCACACTCAAATCGTAATCAAACACTTAACTCAAAACACAAAACTCAATTTAAAAATTATTTTCAAAATTCATAAACAAACACATAATTTGAAACGGCATTGTCACGCCCTCAAAATAATAATATTAAACCCATCAATATAAACATACATTTATATACAAAAGATCCACATTCTCTCAAATAATCAGAGTACTTCATTACAAGAGTATTACACGTTAACAACAAAAGTAAATGCCCTGCGGGCTTACAGCTTTCCAAGTTATCACTTGGTTACAAAAGAGAGTATTAACTCGGTTACACATTAAGCCCTTGGCTTGAAATTACATGTAATACATCAAAAGGAAAATAAGACAACAAAAGTATGTCTTGTCCCTAGCCTCCCAAGCTATGTTCGTAGAGGCGGCATGCTACCTGTACCTGAAAATGATGTTCCCATATAGGGTGAGCCACAGCCCAACAGAGATATACTAAACCAACTATGAACAATGATTAAAAGATTAGCAACTGATAAGTGGTCGATACTTACACGTCCATTTACATCTTATTTCAATTCCATGACAACCAAACCTATGTTACAATTCACCTTTCATTTCTTATTTAACTTTGAGTTTGAAAACGGGGTTCAGTACTCTGGCCAAAACATTTTGAAAATAATTTTTTAAAAAATAAAATAAAATAATATTTTTTGATTTTTTTTTAAATAGAGTTTTGAAAAGAGTTTGATTTTGAGTTTTGAATTGTGTGTTCGGTTATGAGTTTTGAAAATAATTTTTG